ATGACATAAAACATCTATATGTAGGGCTGGGGTTGGGGCTCAGCAGTAGAGTGCTCGCCTAGCATGTGCAAGGCCCTGGGTTCAATCCTCAGTACCACATAAAAATGAATAAAATAGAGGTATTGCATCCAACTACAACTAAAAATAAATATTTTTAAAAAATCTCTATGTAAAGTGCAGATGGAAGGCATTATTAGTATGTATCACGAATTCAAGTATTTGAACGTAGTGATAGGACAAGCAATATCCCTATAAGGGCTTAACATATTCAGCTTCTTAAATTTCTTTCCAAAAGGTGCTGAAAGTGAAAAATATAACTTCATTTGAAGACAAAACAAATACCTTCCATGAGTTAACATAGAAAAGGTGCTAAAAGAAACTTAAAATTAAATGTCCCTTATTCAAAGGAAACAGTCTTAAGAAAGAGGTCCAAAACACAAGTATATAATAAGCATTAAAACAAATTAACACAAAACACAACTTACTTGTTAAAACTAAGTTCATCTCTTAGCAACCAAGAAAATTTATTTAGTATTCCAGGACACACATTGTCTGAAGAGCTTTTGACTTTAGTCATAGGCATAGAAACCAGAAGTAAATGGCTGCAGGCAGAATAGAACCAATACTAGGAAAAATTGCTTGCTGAGCTATTATTATCAGGAAAGCCTTTGTTGTTTTAAATACATCTTTATCATGCCACTCAAAAACAAATGTGTGGTACATGTTTAGAGTCTCTAGTTTTATTTAGAGAGGATGGGAAAAGCAGGGAGAAAGCAAGAATGCAGAAATATGTCAATTTTTCCTGCAAATAAGCTCTGGCAAAAATGCCTTGCTCCATCTCTGGCTGGCTTCTCCCATTCCACACCATTCACTCTACCTGCAATTGTGATCTAGAGAAATCCAAAGAAAGCAAAAAAAGAAACTGGGCATTTCCTCTTTCTTTTATAAGACCTTGCCTGCAAAATTTAATATAAGGTCACCCCAACTTAACAAAACTCGCTAATAGATGTGTAACTGATGTGATTCTGCAATCTGTATTTGGGGTAAAATTGGGAGTTCATAACCAACTTGAATCTAATGTATGAAATATGATATGTCAAGAGCTTTGTAATGTTTTGAACAACCAATAAAAAAAACTCGCTAATAAACAAACTTAATGAGGGAGCATCTTATTTACTGATGCAAGTAATGAATCGATCCAATAGGCATTCAGGGATAGCTGCTTCTCTTACTATCCAAAAGAAAAGAAATGAAAGAAAATGTGTTAAATATATTTAACTGATGCCATTTAAAATCCACCTTTTGGGTTAAAGACAACACAATTAATTTATATTAACTTCACTGGTAGATATAATCTTTCAAATAAAGCCATATGCAATTTATAACATTCATAAAACCTGTTCACTATAGTAATTTCTTTGTTATTTATAGAAAAGAATACACTGTATTAGATTACAGAAGCCAGGGTTGTCACAAGGCTTATAGAGTATCATAAGACAATTTGTATTACTAACCCAATATCCTATCATGCTAGAAAATCAATTTCTCCCCTAGAAGTGGAGAGAACTGATAGTTGTGATGTTTTACAGTTTTAAATAAGTGGAGTTATTAACAATCTTATCTACAATATTGAACTAAATATCTTGCCTTCATACCTTTTCTGTGATACGGGGCTCAGTAAAGAAGAACCATCCTTATCATTACTATGGGAACAAGGCTGACTTTGAGGAATTGACTACTGCAGTGTAGATTTAAACAAGATATTTGCTGTCTAAAGTGCAGCTGAAGCACAAGTCTTAGTGCCAAACCTATCAGATTCTGCATGTTCAATAATTGTGACCTAATATTACCTAATATTACACATTACTATGTTAATGTCCATGGCCATGCAATGGCAATAATCCAAAGGTTATCAATTACATTCTTTTAAAAATAATTACATTCTTGAAAGCATCTTCAGGCTACCAAATTCAAAGCCACAACAAGATTCCTTTTTCTAGTATGTTATATATGTGACAGCCATACTTGTGTTTTTGTGAAATAAAAATATGGTAGGAGTTGAGTAGCTCCCACCTCTAGAAAGGTGAAGCTGTGCTTTTTCTTAGAAGTAGGACTATCAAGGATGGCATAGACTTAAATTTAGAGAAGGACTCAACAGCAGCAACAAAGAAAGCGACCATAGATACTATCCTAACATCTCTCTTTCCTTAAATTAGGCATATGATATAGCAAACAGCATTTCTTTAAGATAGTTCATCCTCTAGTAAAGCTTGAAGCAAAGCCTCTCAAAATGTAAAATGATCATACCTGGATTTCTTGAAACCAGGGTTCCCTATGAAGCCCAGAAAAATTGTAGTCATTGGAAAGCCTGATATTTAACTAATAACACTTAACTCACAGGTTCTGTCAGGAAGGTTGGACAGCATGCTATCATCTATTGATAACCTTCGACAGTCAAAATTCTGAAATAGTACTATCTCATTCTAATTCCACCTTGCCTCCATCAAGAATAATGAGGAGTTGAATAACCAAAGCTGGTTGTGGGAGCCATTTTAAAATCACACCTTACCATCATGTTTTAGAGTGGGTATAGCTGGGAGACTAGTAGGTACTTAGTTTGAGGACACACCTACAAATTTCCAGTTTTTCCCCAGTTTTCAAAATGTACATAAAGGAACATGAGACTGGAAGAAGAGTAAGGAAGTAAAAGAAGAGTGGTCTTTCAGTAACAGCATCTGCTCATCATATAAGTCAAGTTTCAGTGAAATTGGTGGTGAGATACCTTACAATAGATATGTGTTTGGTTAAACAAACATTGGAGGCCCACCCTGCTTCTGTTCAGAACCCTTAGTTTCAATTCTGAGACCATATATGCATTCAAGGATTAATAGAATGCTACTAGGTTTTTAACCTTGACATCACTTTACCTCTTTGAACATCAGTTTTCTCATCTGTAAAATGAGGATAATTATGCAGCCCAGTGGGGTAGATGTAAGATTTTAATTAGTTCATGCATAAAAAGTACTTAGTTGTTTGTTTTATTTTATTCCAAGTAAAATAAAAAATCTCTCAATGCCTGAATCTTAGGGATAAATAGATAATAAGCGTGAATCTGCTTAGATGGCAAGTAATCATCACACTCATTTGCTTCCCAGTTGGAGTTGAGAGTGAATTTCCATGACTGTTTAATTTGTAGTTGATTGCAAAGGGTTAGGCTTCCCTCCTCACATTAAATGCAAGAATGTAAAAAAGCTCAATGACTATTATTCTTTTTAGCTGCTATCATTCTTTTTTGGGGGAGGGTACTAGGGATTGAACTCAGGGGCACTTGACTACTGAACCACATCCAGAGCTCCATTTTTGTATTTTATTTAGAGGCAGAGTCTCACTGAGTTGCTTAGGGCCTCACTTTTGCTGAGGCTTTGAACTCGCAATCCTCCCATCTCAGGCTCCCGAGCCACTGGAATGACAGGTGTGCACCACTGTACTTGGCGCTATTATTCTTTTTTTTTTAGAGAGCGAGAGAGTGAGAGAGAGAGAGAGATAATTTTAACATTTATTTTTTAGTTTTCGGCAGACACAACATCTCTGTTTGTATGTGGTGCTGAGGCCGCACGCATGCCAGGCAAGCGCACTACCACTTGAGCCACATCCCCAGCCCGCGCTATTATTCTTACTATTGTTATTTCTTACTAACTTAAGGAAACTCCACAGTAAGCAGGAAAGATAAAATGGGGAAGCAAAAGGTATTCTCCTTTCTGATGGTGCCCTAGTAAAGCCAACACTGTTAAGCACTTTGCATACATTTTTTATGCCTATTGAGGATTAAATCCAGGGCCTCATGCATGCTAGGCAAGTGTTCTACCACTGAGATATAGCCCAAACTGCCACTTTTTATTATTTTTTAATACTTTATTCCTCCCTTAATCTCTGCACCCACAACTTTTCTAAAAGCTACTGTTTTTGTTGTTGTTGTTGTTGTTTTGCATTTGTTGCCAGATTCTCCCATGCATTGCAAACAACATGACTATCATAGTTTGCCATGATTCCTAATTTCATGCTTGGGCATAATGATGCCCAAGTTTTGGTATGCATATACCACAAGTTTCCTTAATTCCCAGTACGCTCCCTAAGCGCTGTAGCCTCCAGACCCACAGTGACTGCCTGCAGTGGAGTCAGGGGGAGATGTGTCTGCTGATAAGTGATGTGGTTACTGGCATGGGAATCCTGCCATTAGAATGAGTAAATAACCCCTGCCCTTGTGCTGCAAATTCCAAGAAGTGAGCTGCAATGTCAGATGGGAAACTTAATTTCTCAAGGCATATTTCCAGACTCTAGTCATTCCATGTTTGCTTCAATGAGAAAGAATAACAGTGGCAACAGCTGATGTTTCTTAGGTGGATATGAACAGCTCAAGTTTAAACAAACTCTTGTATAAACAGTAGGAAAATGCACTAGACTTCGGGAGCTAGACTTCCTGAGTCAGAGCCAAGTACAAAGGAAATGATCAAGTGCTCAAACAAACATCTAGCTAACACTTTGAACTGGAGGAAGAACCAGTTCAAAGACTAAAGAAGTAATCTCCAACTATTGAGTTCCTTGGGATCTTAGAGATGGCTCCTAAATGATTCAGGAGTTGACTGGGGCTGGGGTAGTGTGTGTGTGTGTGTGTGTGTGTGTGTGTGTGTGTGTGTGTGGTGTATGCATGTAACCATATCTGTTGCAAGCACCCCTAACCCCAGGGCTCTGCAAATATATTAGGAAGGGGAATGGAGGTACAACTTATGAGAGCCATAGTGGGCAACAGGGAAGAGGACCAAGGTGAGACGTGATTTCCCACAGTGCTTCCAGGAGTCCTTAGCAACTTTTTTAAATGAAAAAAGGAAAAGAGCCTAATTTTTATGATTGCTTTGAGACAAATACCAACAAACATACAAACAAAATATTTTCTTAAATAAAATGCTCCCCCATTGGTCACCTGGATAAAAACTCAGACTTACCTTGACATACTGAACAAGACGCTCATTGATGTTCACCTTGTAAGTCTGTAGGCCCAGCTCCTTAGACAAACGTAAGATTCTGTTCTGGGTTGGTCCCACATAGGCTCCACCAACATCTACCCAATTAACATGCTCATTCTGCAGAAAGAAAAAGTGGTCAGAAGGCTTTAGTTAAGACTTGGAAATAAGTCTTTATGTCTCATAAAAAATAACTCCATTTATTTTGCAAAATTAACTGTGCTTTACATCTCCCCTTATAAAGTACAACTGAGAATGGCAATCATTTTTCTTCCTCTCAAGAATTGGGGCATAACACTGTCTGACACTTCACTAAGCACCTTCATTTGCAGAGCTATTGGTGTGGCTGATCAGCAATATAACACATAAGGAATAAAGAACTCTGTAGTAAATCCTACCAGTCTAGATCCTCTGCAACACATTCAAGTTATTATGTATGCTTTTCTCTGGAGTTATTGCTGGAGGAGCCACCCAGAGACTTATTAGAGCTAATTCCCTTATTTCTATCAGGAAAAAAAAATCTTAAATCAGCTTACATTGATGAGCTCTTGATATTTGAAAACACTTCCAGAGAAGAATGCATCATGGGAAATGAATATTAAAAACCATAAAAATATTCATATATCTACTAAATTATTTATAAATATGCAAGCTCTCAAACTGAAATTGTTTTCCTTCCCCCTCCCTCCTAACTGCATTTCTCTACTTTCTTTTACTTATTAACATATTTCCCGATGATTTGATCAATGAATTAAATCTTGGTGAACTATAATTCCTCCATATTTTTTTTAAAATATTTTTTAGAGATGGACACAATACCTTTATTTTATTTATTTATTTTTATGTTGTGCTAAGGATCAAACCCAGTGCCTCACACATGCAAGTAAGTGCTCTACCCCTGAGCCACAACCCCAGTCTTCTCCATGTTTTTGTAATAACCTCTTATGGCTCTATTCAATTTCTATTTTGTTGTTTATACCAGTTCTTATGTGTGAATGCTGCTTTTTTTTCTTGCTTACCTGATTACATTTTTATTGTGTAGCGCTCCATATACTTGAAAAACATGCAGAAATAATTTGAATCCTTGGAGATATCTTTCTCAGAGAGAATTTATGTTTGTTTCTACCCAGTGTCTGAGATACTAACCATAATAAAAAATAACTTTATTCCTCTTCAGTGCTGAAGTGATTTTTAAAAAGCTGGGATGACAGAATGATCAGATTTGGGAGCTTTATAAATTGAGTTTGAGGGGCTGGGGTTGCGGCTCAGTGGTAGAGCACTTGCCTGGCACATGTGAGGCACTGGGTTCAATTCTCAAGCACCACATAAAAATAAACAAAATAAAGATATTGTGTTCATGTATAAATAAAAAAAATATATTTAAAAATATTGAGTTTGGGACCCCTCATAGACCAAAGTCAGGCAGTCATCAAACTAAGCAAGTGATCAAGCTCACAGGAACTGATCAGGAAGTTCACATGGCTTAGGTAAAGTGTCTGGTAAGACAAGAGCAGCAAACATTAAGTCCAGCCTTGGAACTTCTTACATGTTTTCTATAAGGACTGGAATCAGTCCTCAAGGCAGGTTGGATGGGAAGGCAGCCCAGCTGGAGTGGGGATGGTAAGAGCAGAGAAGAGGGCAGGGTCTGCCCTTTTTTGGGGTACTTATCCTAGGCTACACAGTACCAGCTGTTAGGAACCCCAAAGAACCTTGAAATGAAGAGGTTATATACTCAAACATCTATGTGGGCCAGACAGGTGTAAGGTCCAATAATGAGTGGAGACAGTGACTAACTGGAAAGAACATGAACAGAGGGACAGTTGCTACTCAGCTCCATGTGGGAAATGTGATTCATTGTTGCCAGATCTTCTGGTTTTCCAGAGAAGTCAGAAATCTCTTCAGATGAAAGTTTCTGATCTTTAATGCTGTTAATTAATTTTTAAAAATCTTCAGAAACATCTATTGGCCCAACAAAAACATGTTTGTGGCTGATTTGGCCTGTGTGGGGAATCCTTTAGCTATTGCTGTTGTCTAGTACTTGAAAAGGCCAAGTGACTTGGGTGGACATTCCCTGTGAGTTTTTTGATGCCCATGAGGGTGACATTTATCGTCTATAGAAACAATTACTCAGAAATTACTTTGGATTTAAAACTCAATTTTTTAAAATTTACTCAATTTTTCAAAGTTACAAACACTAAATCCTAGTTCTTTTCTAAGTTTTTAAGTTTAGCTTTCAAATCATATTTTATTTAATGTTTGATCAAAGGCAAATTCCTATAAACACTTAAATGGTACTTTAAGTTTTCATTTATTTGACCAAAACAAACATTCCCAAACACTTGAATATTTCTATCCCCAATAAATTGTTTATAAATAAGTAAAAAAAAAAGCTGGGCTGAAATGCACATGTGGCCTAGTACTCTTGCAGTTCACCATTAGTCCTAAGATTAGCCCAACCCAAAGCAAGGAGTTGACCAAAACCTTCCCCATATACACACATACTTTGTTGGGCTCTGGAATTGACATTATATTATCCTAGCTTCAAAAAACTATCAAAAGAACTGCTCAGTCTCCCAGCAATATTTTCAGTAGCCAACAACTCTCCCTAATACCCAGGAAAAGGTAGGTCAATCCTTTTTGGATACTGGCCCCATAATTCTTCACTACATTCTTAGCTCTTTGGCTCTCTAATGCTCTGAAGATATATGAGTGTGTACACATGCACACATATGTGCGTGGTGAAATCTGTCTAGTCTCATTGTGCTTTGGTATAATTTACCCAATCTGTTATTTCCAGAAAAAGAGTACTGCTGGCAGAAGGAAGAGCCAGTGCGAAGATTGTAAGGCAAAAGCATACCTGGTATGTTTAAGAAATACCAAGAGGGCCAATGTAGCTAGAATAGAGTAAGCAAGGAAAAGAGAACTGGAGATAAGGTTAGAGAGTTTATTGGGAAACAGGCCAGGACATTGTATGCACACTGGTTTTTGCTCTAAGTGACAGGAGAGCCTTTGGAAGGTTTTGAGGAGAAAAATGCTAATGTCTGATTTAGATTTTAAAGACTTGCTGCTGCACTAAGAATTGATTATTGGGAGCAAGAGTGACAACAGGGAAATCAGTTAGAAGGCTACTACTGCAGTCATCTACCCTAAAGATGATGGTAGCTCCCGCAAGGAGGTAGCAATGAAAGTCTGGGGGGGAAGTATTGAATTCTCAATATGTTTTTAAAGCAATGCCAAAATAATTTCCTGGAAAAATACAGTAGGTCTGGCAGTGTTAAGCATTACCCCAAGTATTTTCAGAGTTGCCATCTTATTTGGGGAAAGATGCTGGAATAACAGTCTCAGTGAGAAACATAAGAAGTTTAGTTTGGGATGGTTGAATTTGAGATGCCAATTCAATATCGAGGAGGATCTACAATTGTCTAACTTCCCTGTCAGATCTGTACAGTGTATTTTATTCAACATTTTTCTTATTTCAATAGGGGGAGTTATTCAGGGTTACCTTGCTGCCACAATAGCAGAAATAAAATGTTTCTTTAATCTGTCCATCCTAATCCTTATGTTCTCTTTTACTAACCATGAGTACTGTCCTCCAAACTTCTCTAGACTCCAATTTCCATTTTAAGATTGGAGAACAAGTACTCCAGTAAATTTCTAGGATTTAACAAAGACAGCAAGAGGACCCTTGAGAGTTTTCAAATGTCTTTAGAACACTGACAATCTCTTTAAAGTGAATAATCCTAAGTGAAGTAGTAAAAAGAGTGAGGCATTTTACAGAATGCTTTTTACAAAGCAAAAACATTTGGGCTGGGGATGTGGCTCAAGCGGTAGCGCGCTCCCCTGGCATGTGTGCGGCCCGGGTTCGATCCTCAGCACCACATACAAACAAAGATGTTGTGTCCACCGAAAAAACTAAAAAATAAATATTGAAATTCTCATTCTCATTCTCTCTCTCTCTCTCTCTTTAAAAAAAAAAGCAAAAACATTCTATATATGATACTCTGGATTCAGCATGAAGACACTAGAAATGAAATATGGTTTTCTGCTATGTTGCACCTTAGTCTTTAGGGTCCTTATTTAGATCTTATTACTCAGCCTTTAAGGAGGCCACTGAGATGCAACTGTATTAGCAATCAAAGACACCAACCTTTTGGTGGCCCTGCGGGCATTTCAACTTTATTAATTTGACTCTGAAAAATCATGGAGGGATCATATTTAAAAAAATTGGGATGTTCTGAACTAGTTGAAAATCCATACAAATAGTTGTCAGGTGAAAATACCATCTTTGACATTTCAGTACTTAAAGATGTAAAGTAGTTTTTATGACATCTTCTGCCAAAATTATCCTAATTGATAATGCTACTAGAAACAATTTTAACAATATTTGATTCAGTTTCTTATTAAATACCATTTTGTCCTTTTTAAAAGCCTTCTGTTTCTTCCATATGAAATATTAATGCTAAGTGGTAACGTCAGGCATTTCTGAGATTCCTTTCTCATATACCTAAGAGGTACATGATATCATGAATATGCAGTAATAGTTCTGTCTGGTGCTGACATATATAAATGATGCAGCACGGCCAAGCAGCTTAGGCCAATAACATAGATTGGGATAAGCATGTTGTATTTCTCATTTCCCTTATGCAAAGAAACTTGTTCTTAACTGAAAATCTGCAACATGACTGATGCTCCTATTTAATAAGCAAGAGGTTTCAGAGATAAGAAAACCAAGGATAAGGCACAACTTAATAACTACCTACAAAATGAAGGAATATTTTTCAGAAAAAATGACAGAAGAATCATATCTACCAAGAACGTAAGACAGAATATGCAACCATTTTTTTTTACATTACCATACACTGTTTAGAATCTGAAGATGAAGGGAGCTTCCTGGAGGACATTCAGATTGTATCATATCACTCAGATGAGAAAACTGGGATGTGAAGTGCTAACAGGACTTACCCAAGACACCATGTCAGGCCAGTACAGTGGATAGAATCCCAGTTTCCTCACTCCCAGACCCATGGCAGACTGCATCCAAAGGAGTACTCAGAAATTCTCCAAATAAACTTAATCTGGATTAACATTAAATGAAAGCAAGCAAGTGTGTATATACCAGAGAGCCGTGCTTCTTGTAGTCTCTCCTAGTGAGCTTGTCAAAATGCAGATTCAGATTCAGCAGGTCTGGAACATGGCCTAAAATTCTGCATTTTTATCAAGTTCCCAGATGATTTCAAGGCTGCAGGTCCACAGACCCCACTTGGAAAAAGCAAGGCTGTGAAACACTATTAGAATTAATCAAGTAGGAAAAGGCCTCAGATATATCTTCACATATCTAGCAAATATCATATGAATGTGTGTGCATGTGCATATGTGTGTATGTTTGGGGTGTAGAGTCACTTCCAGTCCAGAAAAACTATAACCCTAGCCAAGACACTACATACTTGATGATCTCATCTATAGTTTCAAAATTATGACACTGTATTGAAGTTATTTGTTCATACTTGCTGTCTTCACTAGAATGTGAGGTAACATACCCAAATGATAGAAAGGGCATGGCATGGTGTGACTGAAAGAGTTCAGAGTTCAAATGTCATCAGTTGGCAATTGCAATACTTTCTCTTGCCTGATTACACTCTGTAGTCTGGAAATGTTAGATATCAGTCTTTCTTACAGCTGAAGGGAGCCAGGTGACCTAACTCTGCCCAATGAAACTGAAGCAAATGTCTACCTGAGTCTTCCAGTAAAGATCACTCTCTTTCCTACCTTGAATGAGGACTTGATGCTTAGATGTCAGCATCTACCTTGTTACCAGAAGGCAATATAAATCAACATGCAAAGAATGACAGAGCAGAAGGACAGCAATAGATTAAAGCCTTGAAGATAAAGCTGAACCCCTATCCCAACTAGGACTATGTACCACCAGACTTCTGTGAAATTATTGAATATTTGCTTGGCTTAATTCACTGCTATTATCATTGCCTAGGCCATTCTATTATCTAACTGAAACATCTTCTAGTTAGATATATGCATTCTCTATTTCCAGTCAATTCAACAAGTCTGTATTTTTTCCCTTTTTGCCAATCCTCACTTAAGTCTTTTTTTTTCTCACTTAAGTCTTTACAGTTCTTATTTATTTGTTCTAGCAAAGGGTCTCATTAATGACTTTCTAATTGCCAAATTCAAGGGCCTCTTTACTGCCTTCATTCTTTACCATCTGAGTCTGTTGAGCATCCCTTTCTCTTTCCTCCACTGACTGGCATAGCACTGCTCTAACCTCCTCTGCCTCTACAGCTTCTCTCTGGTTCCTTCTGTATCTGCCCACCCGCCCCCCTTTAACCTACAAGCTCACCAAACATCCATCTTTGGCCCTATTTCTTCCCACCCTGCATACCCCTCTGTGTACTTTCATCAGCTCCCACAGATTTAGTCACATGCAAACACACTAGTAGTAACTATTTTAGTAAATGATATAAGTGTACACTTTTCCAGAATGGTGTAAAAAGGACAGTGGTTTAGCAAGAACTGTGGTTCCTTCTCATATAATCCAGACCTGTCTTGAACAAAAAAGCCAAGGGAAAAGTTGCACAAAAATACATACATTTGCTCCTGCTTACTGTGACCATCAGCTGAGTACTGCTGGATAAATAAACAAGGAACCTACAGTATGTGTGCATTTGGGGTGTATAGTTACTTCCAGTCCAGCAAAACCATAACCCTACTGAGATAATTCATACTTGATGATTTCAGTCTCTAGTTTTGAAATTATGGCACTATATTGAAGTTATTTGTTCATACTTGTTATCTTTACTAGAATGTGAGCAACTGGAGGTCAGAGGTTGTCATTGTTCAGTGAGTGCTTGTTGATGAGAATGACCCTTTACTTCATGAAGTAAATTAGAGCTATGGAGGACAAATGGCTTAAATGCATGAATTCTTAATATTTCTTCCAGTTCTGTGACTTCCAAAGGCTCCAATTCTATTTTTAGGGGGTTACCAGAGATCGAACTCAGGGGCATGCAACTACTGAGCCCCATCCCCAGCCCTATTTTGTATTTTATTTAGAGACAGGGTCTCACTGAGTTGCTTAGCACCTTGCTTTTGGTGAGGCTGGCTTTGAATTCACAATCCTCCCGCCTCAGCCTCCCAAACTGCTGGGATTACAGGCATGAGCCACCATGCCCAGATCACTTACAGTTTTGAGTGAGATAAATCATATGCAAGTATTAAAATCACTTACCCTCACAGTGTATGTTCTTCCTCCAACTCTGTCCCGAGCTTCTAAAACCAAAACATTAACTTCATGTTCAGATAAGAGTTTGGCAGCAGCCAATCCTAAAGGGAAAACAAAAGAGAACTATTAACATCTAAATGCTAGACATACAAGATTTAACCAGGTCTACCCATAAAATGAGTGCAGGGCATTGCACATACTCCATTGATTTTGATGTTTTTTTCTAAGAAATTCTGTCCACACTGATTAACTGAATTTTATTACACAGTTGCTGAATTTTACTAAGTTATTTACTTTATTATCTAACATAAGGGATTCAAAAATCTCCTAATTCAATCATCTTGGTTTACAAAAATGTAATAATTTTGATAATATGTATCTTGTTTTCTGGTAAAAATCAAATTATGTTTAGGGAATTTTCTAAGTCCCATGTCCAGAAATTCTGAACATATAAACAGAAGTGTATACTTTCCTGAAGATTCTCCCTGGTTACCCCAGCTCTCAGTATATCTATGGCTTAACTTAAAATCCCATATGATTATCTCTTCTGGTTTATATCAGGATGACATTCTTCCTAGATCTAGTTTCCCTCACTAGATTCTAAGTTACCAAAAGACAGGAATCATGCTTCATACTTCATTAAATGGATTCAAACAAAACTGAGAACAGGTTTTAATCTGTAAATAAAAGTTTTTAATAAAGATATAATATTTTTGAACTAACATAGTAACATCATAAATGTTGAGCACAATGTAGTAGATTAACATTATATTAAGAGAGCCTGATACCACAAGTTTGGTGGCACCCACCTGTAATCCCAGCTATCTGGAAGACTGAGGCAGGAGGATCACAAGTTTGAGACCAGCCTGGGCAAATAAGTGACACTCTGTGTCAAAATTTTTTAAAAAGAACTGGGGATGTAGCTCAATGGTAGAGTGTGTGCCTAGCATGCTAAGCCTCTGAGTTCAATCCTCAGTGCCATAACTAACATAAATAAGTAAATAAATAAATTATTAATTGATTGATTACTGATGTTGACCTTGATCTGATCACTTAGCTAAGGGACTGCTGTCAGGCCTCTGCCAAAAGTTACTCTTTCACTCCCATTTCCCTACTGTACTTTTTGGAAAGATGGTTATGCATACACTTTATCTAAGGCATGAGCAGTTATGTTCTACATCTTTACAGCTGTCATTAAGAAGGATTTTGGGCATGGAGATAAAAAAATGCAGATGTAAAGAAGATGAGATTAAGTAAAAATATAGTCCTAAGTATGAGTAGGAATTTTTGGTATCATATCTGTATACATTCAATAAAAAATATTTCCTCATCCCATCCAATGAGAAGGGCTAGAAAAAATAACCTACCCAGTAGCAATGAGCATTCCAAACACCCAGCTTTTGATTTCTAAAATTTCACTTATCACTATGGTGACCTATTATATATCTGAGGCAGGAAATGTACAAGATGAGCCTTTAACATTAAATTATACTAGAAAGCAAGAACACTATCAGAGTACTAGAATTATGTCAAAAAGATTCAAGAGCCTGCCTGTATAAACTTCCACTGTCCAAAGATGGAACAATTTGAATATCAAATAAAAATAACTACAGCAACTTAAATCCATGAGTTTACAACAATACCAAACAAAAACTCTCATTGTCTACCTTTGGAGAATTATAAGAAACTAATAACATTTTGAAAAATTATATACAAAAGAATCTAGCATTTATTAGCAGGACCTGTAGTAGTTGTGCCCATGGAAGCATCTCCACAGTAGCCTGCAGATCCATGCTAAATGTCTTCCCTTGTTGCCTGTTACACCCATCCCTCCGAGTATTTTTGATTATTCCTGTATTCCAGATAAGAAAAACAAGTGGCTGATATGACCATAACCAAACTCAAAAAGCAAAGGATCTGATTCTTCATACCCTACACAGAGCCTTAATAAAACCTAATCTAGCATGTTAACTCCAAATGAGCTTGGTAAATGCCTTTCGGTTCCAGCAATAAACAATCACTACTCAGAAGACTAACTCCTTTTTATACTTATTTTGTATATCATTATGCATTCCACCCTCTCCTTTTCACTATAAAATTCAAAGATCACCTGTAGAAAAAAATATCCCAACTGGATTAGTTTAGGGACTTTTGCCATAATCTTTCAAAATGTTTATTTAGGATATTTTGGTAAACAGAATCAAATTGTTGGGAAAGGCTCTTAAGTTTGAAGACAAGTCATCAAATAAAATGTGACTACTATAAAAATAGATTTTATAACCAATGTTTAATTTTTCACATTTATTATTAAACGAGAAAAAAATCCCACCTTGAATCTCATTTTGTTTCTAAGTAAGACAGATTGCTAAAGCAAATCTAAAAGCAATGTGTATTGTAGCTTTTCCTTTCTCTCATTTTTCTATCAATTAATGTCCACATAGAATACAGAGTAAGAAACCTACACCTCCTCAAGGTTAACCTGGGTGGGGGTGGGTAGAAGGCACCTGTTTTGCAGCATTTGGGATTCCATGGTATGTGTATGTGTGTGGATTTCAGACCATGAGTGTGGATTTCAGACCATAAGTGTGATTTCACACTACAACATGATTGTCTATTAAATCAGCAAGTATTTATGACATTCACTATGTTGTAGGAGCCGAGGGGCCAACTTGGAAAGCAGTTCATAGTCAAAAGTGTGTCAAAAGCCTATAATTCTCCCACCTGTGTTTTTGAGGGAAGAGGTCTAAGTGGACATATTAAAATCTATGGAGCCCTCTCTCAAATCATGGCAAACAGAGGTAATTAGGAGTAAAGGTCCCAGGACCCACAAGTGTCCTGTGGTTTTCTTTGAGTGTACAGAGCCCAGAGAAACCACAGTCATAAATGCAAGAGAGAGAGAGAGAGAGAGAGACTACATTTATAGTTTGTTAAAGTCTTATGGTGTGAATAAGGTGATCTGACTTACTTTCAAAAGCAAAAACTTGAAAACTATGGGTCATGGCATAGGTAAAACTTTAATCATATTGCACTATTATATTTTTATCTATTTATTTATCTTTGTGTTACTGGGGAATAAACCCAGGGGTGCTCTACCACAGTGCTACATCCTCAGTCCTTTTTATTTTGAGACAGGGTTTTGCTAAGTTGCAGAGGCTAGCCTCAAACTTGATGATCCTCCTGCTTCAGCCTCCTGAGTGGCTGGGATTATAGGCATGCACTACCATGCCTGGCTTGTTGCAGTATTTTAAATAGGGCTGATGAATTTAAAATGATACAATTCTTCTCCTGATGTCACTCTCTTCAATCATTTGGGTTTTACAGAAACCAAAATATTGAAGAATTTCTTAGAGAGGGTTTTTCTTTTTTAAGGAAGTCTGCTAACAGTACACCTTATTAAGAGTTCAGGCAATGATAGCCCTGGTTATTAGATCAGAAGAGCCTGGGTGAGAGGTTGCTTGCAGCCAGCAGAGGTGTTGTCATGGCAACCTCAAACCAAGCTCCAGCTTCTTAAAGCCACTGTTCATGGAAACTGCTTCCATAGATTCTACAGTGCTTCCAACATCCTGGAATGGCTATTGTTCCCTGATAAATGATATAGGAAGTGATTTTACCTATATGGCACACCTTGGGATTTAATATCTGTGGTGATTCCTTCAGGAAAATTACACTTTTCTCCCTGGGCTATAAATCTCAGGCATCCTTTTAGGATGGAACCTAGCTTCCACACATATCCCTGCCTTCTCTACCTTGCAAGTTTCCTCTGTTTTTTTTCTTATTTCTTTAAGCAAATTCATATTGCCAGAGGAAAAGATGAAATTTCTCCATTGACTCATGCCACTCTTTCCAGTTCCTGTATGCTTTCTGATTTTCTTCTATAACACATGATCTGCTGTCTCCATTTCCTCCATACAACAAATCATGAAATATGAAAAATGCTCATGAAAAATGCTCAGTGGCCCCACTATCATTATAGACAAACAATATAGTCACCTGTCATACTCTGTTTCAACTACCTATATTTTTCTCCTTAGAACACATCATTACCTGGCACCATGCACATGTGTACACACACACACACTTTCTATAATTATTTAATTAAGCCACTGTGAAAATAAGGTCTTTACTTGTTGTGCTTACTGCTATATTTCCAGAGCCTGGCACACAGTGGACCATCAGGAAACAAAATAAATTATTTTGTTGAAATAATTTATTAATGAATGGGACCTTCTTCAGAGATTGCAATTCAAAAACCCTCACAAATTCAATGGTATGCGTTCCTACTGAAGGGCATTCACAGCTAAAAAAATAATAAAACAAAAATCCTATAATAAATTAGTGAAATAAAACATGCCTGGTGCAGGTTCCTATTTGATTCTCTTAATATTTTCAGTATCTTTGAGGGATTGTTTCCAAGATGCTCATGGATACCAAAATATATGGATACTCAAGTCCCCTATATAAAATGATATTCAATTGCATATAACCTATGCACATCTTCCATATACTTTAAATCATCTCTAGATTACTTGTAACACTAATTACAATGCCATGTAAATAGTTATTATGGTATATTGTTTAGGGAATAATTATAAGAAAAAATATGCACATGTTTTGTACAGATGGTATTTTTTTCTCAAATGTTTTTTGGTCCAAGAGAAGTTAAATATGAAAAGGTGGAACCTATGGATACAGAGGGTCAAGTGTATTTTTGGAAGAGTTTCCACTATAGAGTGTGTGATAATCCTAGTAATGTTTCTTCAGCCTTTTTAATCTGTAAAAGGAGATAATAATAATGGCTCTTTCCTGGTGTCTAATATTAGGATTAAACAAGGTAACACATAATTACTCAGTCAAGTGATCGGTATGTAGTAAATGTTATATTATTGTGAGCTGTCATCATCACTATCATCCGTAAGGTCACTGATGACCAGTTTTCTAAGGCTCGTGGTTTTGCTTCAATCCTAAAATTTCTTTATGCTATTCTAGGTAGTGTTGATCACCTTTTGTAATTTCAGGTACTATCTTAAGTACTACTTCCCTGGTCCTGATTACTCTAATTCAGGTTTTCCCAAAGTGTATTCTATGGGAAAGAAATTCCTTG